GGGGGGGTGGAAGGAGGTATGTGTGTTAGATGTGTTTGTAAGGCGTCTCTCTGTGTGTGTCCGTGTGTGTGTCGTCGAGCATTCCTTGTGCCATAGACAGACAGAGCAGGTAGGTCAGTTCTGGATGGATGGATGGATGGTTGTCGTGCATACGATACGTGTCGGTCGCTTCCTTTGACTGACCGTAAGTAAACCATTCTCATAAGCACGCCACGCACGTGTCGTTGGACTCAGCACACTCACTGTGAATGGAATGGCGGCATTTCTTTGAAACACTCACTCGTCCCATACGCAACACCGAACATCATGCCCGTCGGCATTTCGCTCGGAAACATCGCTCTCCCATTGCTCCCTCCCCATCTGATGGGGAATGTACTAACGACACACGCACTCGTATTGCTAGCACTAGAGACCTGCTCGGCTGACTGACACACGTCTCTCACAGACCCACAATCAAATCACACTCAGACCTAACACTCACTGGCCGACTCAGAGACGCACGGCTAGCTTACTTACAGCAAATAACCACCTCCCTCCCTGCCTCCCTCCGTGAATCAGTTGGCCTCTGCTTGTCTGGTGCTGGCCTCCTCTTGTATGGTCGCAGCCCTCCTCAGCAGCGCAGACCTCGCCGGCGTCATGGGAGTGTTCATCGAAGCGTATGGCGACCCGGTCGGCCCGAATGATAGTGTCCACGCGCCACTTCCCACACTGACCGTGTCATGCCGATCCCTCTCCCTCTCCCTCCCCCCCTCAAGGCCGAATCGGCTCATCAGCGGCTGCTTACTCTCATCCTCGTCTCGGCTCTTCCTCCTCGATGACGACGCACGGGAGGGCCACAACGAGCTGAGGAACGACGGCTTCCTCTCCTGCCCACCACTTCCTCCTGCTGCCGCCGATGCACTAGCACTAGCGCTAGCACTTGCACCGGCACTGGCAGACCGTTGGTGGTGGTGCTGCTGCTGCTGCTTCTGCTGCAGTTCCGTAGGGCCGTTTTCCATCGGTGTCTGGTCGCTGGAGCATGGCGGTGATGACTTCGGTGGGGGGAAGGATGTGTAGGGCGCCGAGGGTGAGGATGAGTCTGGCGGGAGGCCGGATGGGGCCGGTGCTGCTGCTGGTGCTGCTGAAGAGCCTCCCGGCTGGTTGCCGCTGTCGTTGTTGGGACTCATTGCGGTGGGCAGCATGGGGGCCTCCAGCTTCTCACTCTTGGGGACGAGGCACACCAAAGGGGTGTAGATGACGTTGGCCAACATGTACACAAGAGCTGATAGATACACAGAGAAAGGGGTGGAAAGAGACACAGAGAGACAGAGAGGGCGTGTACAGTTCAGTCACCTTGCTTGCTGCAGTGCAGTGCCCTATGCTTCCGTGGTCGTGTTGGCCGCGCCATGCGCGCTACCAATTTACTTACCAGTGATTTGGAAGGTGAACCTGTAGTCCTTGGTGTCGGCCAGCCAGCCCCCAAACAAGGCCGATGCTGCCCAGGTGCTCGTTATCAGCGACTGCAGGGACGTCCACTTGCCTGAATGAATGAAGCACGGAAGGTCACACACAGATGAAGGAAGGAGTCATGTATGGATGAGTGGTGTGAATGTGCCCAGGGAGGGGACCGGACCTACCTCTGTTTTTGCTCGAGACAAAGTCCGCGATGATAGATCGGTCGATGGGCGTGGAGGCGTTCTGCAGTGACCCCCTGAGGATGTGCACAGTGACTGCCACCCAGAAGTTGCGGGCCACGGAGAGACCCACCAGGCACCTGCACACAGGGACATACATGAGCACTGGCTGCTCTCTCCTTCCGCCCGTCGTGTGTGTCCCATTTGTATGGCTGCGTACAGGCAGCCCGCGACGGTGAAGTAGAGGGACACCTGAGCCCGACCAAGAGAGGCCCCCATGTACTGAACCACTGCAAACACGCACAGAGGAAGACGTGTCCGTGTGGTTGGTGTGGTGTGGTGCCACAAGCTTTGCGGCTGACGACTGACCGAAGGTCATTGCAGCGATGGCGAGTGTGTAGAACAACTGGACTGTGAGGACCCCCGTCGGTTTGAGCCCATACTCCTTCTTGAAGAACAGGTTGAAATACTTGACCGTCATCCCTATAGGCAGCCACACAACACACAATAAACCGCCCACGTGCAGTGCACGTCGAGACCGAAACAAAGGAGATAGGCACCCATGCATTAATGGGTCCTCCCTCCGCTCACTCACCGGCGCCGGCAAAGGTGACGAAATGAGAAAAGAAGACGATCCACGGGATGTGCCGCTCGTCGAAACACACGCACCGCATGTCCGTCCGCCTCCTATCGTCATATTCCGCAGCAGCAGCAGCGGCCGCACTGCCACCGGCGTCAGCCTTTTGGCTCTTCATCAGCAGCTGCCTCCTGCTGTCAGTTGACGGCACCTTGTCGGTCCAGGCCCACAGGATGAGAGCCTGTGGGAGGCTGACCAGGAGGCCGAAGAACATGACTGCCCGCAGTATGGCAACATCCCACACGTCGCCGAGCCTCCTGAAGAGGAAGATCTGAACGAGTGGCCCCAGGCCGTTCGAGAGCGTGGTGATCGCGCGACGGTACACATAGAACCGGCTCCTCTCCCCTAAAACACACACACGCACACACGCACACAGTGAGTGATGTGATGGAGAGCACCTTCGTGGACGACAAAGCTAAGCACCTTGTTACCTTGTGGAATGCTCTCTGCGTAGAGGGCCTCCGAGGCGACGAATGCAAACTCATACCAGAAGCGCCAGGCGATGGTCACGGCATACCAGGCGTACTCGTAGTCCGTCTGGAGGGCATAGTAGTTGGTGGCGATGCACACGGCCGTGACCAACGAGCACACTTGAAGGATCTTGGACCGACGCGTGACGAAGTAGGGGTGGTCGCACAGCAGGCCGGCCGGCATCGACACCAGCAGAGTCGTCATGCCGCCCAGAAACGTGAACCATCCCACCTGCACCAACAACAACCACCACACGGGGCGGGGCGACCAGTATGCCAGTCTGTCAGCCACGCCATCTCTCTGCCATCTGTCTGTCTGTCTGTCTGACCTTGGTGTTAGTGCCGAATTGCAGGTGCAGGTATTGGTCGAAGATGTAGCCCGACCGCGTGACGTAGGCCACACCGTTGAAGAAACGAAACAAAAACCTGGATGGGATGACATGACAGGCAAGACAGACAGACAGACGACAACCCAACAAAGGGCGTGTCTGTTCATTCGCTGTTTGTTTGTTTGTTTGTTTGTTTGAACGTGCGTGTGTATGCGCTGCTCACATGAGCCATATGTTGCGATTGAGGACGACATCTCCCATTGTCTGACTCTCCCCAGATTCCAATCACATCACACTGGAGCAGCTGCTGACGAGCGCGCGGCAGCGGCAGCTAGCTACCGCAGGAAGGATGGCCTTGCGGAGTAGCTGTGTGCACGCGGGAAGGGCAGCTCCCGTCGGTCAGTCCAGCTTCGTTCTCAAACCACAAGCAACCGAGTCAACACTGAGATCTCGCCTGTCAATCAAAGACCTTACAGCAGATCCTCCTTCACCATGCAGGGCACCCCTGTGTCTTCGCAAGAATTTCAGGTGCCAGATCTCTTGAGCTCGCAAGAATGAGGGGGGAAAAGGGCGGGTAGGCGATGGAGATCCGTATGCGGGCATGTAACTACAGCCGCGACGGCAAACCGTTGCGTCAGACGCTCCCGGGCACGCGGCGGTGTGAGTGGGAGACTTGGATGGACGAGGACCAAACACCCGACGATGCGAGGCTCAAAACGGACCTCGGCGTCATGGAGTATGCGCAGGCTCTCGTCCGTAAGCACAGCACACACAGACACAGACATAGAGTGGCGAAATTTGAGCAATATACTGTATTGTTTGTGCATGCCGCTTTGGGGTGCATGTGTGTGTGTGTGTGTGTGTGTTGCAACAGGTCGTGACAATATGGATGTGGAGCACATCTACCACGCGCCCAAGGGGGTGGACCCAGTGGCATGGCAATACGAGCACATCAGGTCAGGTGGGGTAAAGGAATGGGTGGCCAGGGCGGTTAGTGCGGCCACTGACGGGTCTGTCTGGTGGATGGATGCATGGATGGTGTGTTATGCTATGCTATGGTGCTAGGTTGTTTCTGATTGAGTTCAATGACCTGCTCACAGACCTGTGTAGGCGATAGATACGCACACACACGGAAACACGCCTACCTTCTGGGCGTGGCGTGCTCTAATGCGTGTGTGCGGTGCCGTGTGGATGTTTCTTTCGATGTGTCAGGCAAGGAGTGCGATCGCACCTCGTGTCCCAAGATGACGGCATCTCACGAATGGCAGTACCTCTGCGCAGCCCATAAAAAACCGCAAGACGTACCAACGCGTTGGCACAGCACATACCTGGCTGGTCACACATACACGCGTCGGTCGTGTCGTCTGGTGTGGTGTGTTGATGTGATGACCCATTCATTGATTCATCACATGACTGACTGACTGACTGCAGTGTGCGGCCATCGACTACATGGTGCACACCATTGACGGCACCGCTACCGTGCTCACATCCATCAAACACTTCTCGGAAAGGTCGGTCTACGTGTCTATCAGCTTTGCTGTGCTGCATATGCTGCATGTGTGTGTCTGCAGGGGCAGCAAGGCGCAGTACAGCCAGTCGCAGGCGCAGAAGTACTTCGTGTCCATGGCCAGACGCATATACAGGTGGGTGACTCACTCACTGACCTGACCCACACCAAAAGACACACACCAGCCAGCATCTCTCTCTCTCTCTCCCTCCCTTGTGGACCATCCCGGTGCGTGCAGAATATTCGGTCACGTCTACTACAACCACAGAACGATATTCGACAGATTCGAGGTCAGTTCAGAAACACCGAGCGAACAAACCTCCCTCCTTTCTTGTTGCCATCCATCCATCCATCGCATGTCATGTCATGTGTTTGACGTGGGCATGGCATGCAGGAGGCGACGCACATGTGTTTCCGCTTCACGTATTTCGCGCTGCTGCACTCCCTGATGCAGAACAACATGGTGCTGATCCCCAAGGAGGCCTACGTGCCCGAGGACTACGACGGCGATGTGGACATCCCCCAGCCCACCACACCCAGCCAGGCGGCCGCCACCTCATCATCCTCCTCCGGTAGTGCCTCCGGGGGAGGGTCGGGAGGCGGTAGTGGGGGTGGGGGTGGGGGTGGGGGCGGCGGCGGCGGCGGCGGCACGTCGTCATCGCAGTCGATGGGGGGCAGCGGAGGCGGACACTCGCAGAGGAGAAGCAAATAAGCAAGATGGGGGTGGGGGGCAATGTTGATGAGGATTGATGGAGGGTTGGGTGAGGCAGGCTGGCTGGGTAGTGTGGGTGGGTTGGCACAACCATGGCAGACAGATACGATCGATCGTAGGGAGGGACGGGGTTATGTATGTCTGGGTGGCAGGGTGGGGTGGCCGCTCTTAGTCTGTCTACGATTGATTTGCCTGACTGAGCACAGCACGGGTGGCCACGTCTGCTCTGTACGAGGTGACGCATCGGTTGAGGATGGATGCATGGACGGTTTGTCTGCGATCGTCCATGTTCCCCTTCCCAGCCGACCCATCGCCTCACACGCAGAGCAAGGCAGCCAATGAATGCAACCGTGTGCTTGGTGTGCATACCGGCGAACAGCGTCTGGCTGCATGTGTGATGCTGACCTCGTCGCGCTGCGAGTGAGGTATTGTCTCGGCTCGGAAGGGCAACACACCCGGTTTGTCTCCGATCGTCTGTGTTGACCTTCCTGGCGGACCAATCTCCTCATCTGGACGGCGAAAAGAGCGATGCAATGAATGATCTGGCAAAAGTTTCATGAATCCGTGAAGGTTCCAAGCGGCGCCTTATCTGCAGCAGCGGTTTCAGGGGTAAGCACCCTAGGCCTGACGGCCAAGCCTTATATGCGAGCTTTTGGCGAGTTCAGGGCTGAAGCCAACGGGAACAGAGGGCGGGTGTGCAGAGGCAGCGGCGGACTCTGCAGATGCGCGAGGTGCCTGCTTGGACCTCCTGCTGTTTGCTGATCCACTTGATTCGCCATATGGCCGCCCTCGTATTTTTGCTCGACAAGCATCAGCTGAGCGCCGCCCACCCGCACCATCCCGCTGCCTTTGCAGCCCTGCCGCAGCCATCCTTCAGGAGGACCAGACGGCGCGCCCCTCTCGCCCTCTCCGCATCGTCGCCCCTTCGACGGCATCTGGAGAGCACAAGAGCGGCCGAATGGCGAGGCAGGCATATTGCCTGTGTGCCGTCGATTCGAGCAAGGAGGAAGGCGTTGACTGTGAGGCCATCAGCGGCACGCGAGGATGTGGCGGTAGCTGCTGCTCCAGAGACCGACCAGCTGCCCGCATCCACTACGTCCGATAAGCAGCCTCCTCACGGCCCCGCCAAGATGGGCCATCTGGTGAAGGCGAACGAGTACCAACTGCAGCCCCCATTAGGACCGCCTCACGTTCAAACGCCCTCTGGCACTCCAGAGAGCAGCGCCGTGGGTGGGGTTGCTGACCGGTCTCCTGCAGGCGGAGAGGGAGAGGGAGAGGGGGAGGGTGGGAGTGGTCAGCTCTTCGCCTCCGCCAGTGGCAGAGAGGCCGAAAAGAAGCGCAAGGCGGCTGCGGCTGCTGGTGGTGGGAGTGAGTCGGCGTTCGGTGTGGAGAGCGTGGACATCTTCCAGGCCTTCGCTGAGTGGCTCGAGCAGGCCTACACGGCCATCGTCGAGACCTTCTTCCCTCCAAGCCCCCTAGGTACGTCAGTCAGACACACACGCACTTCACTCACTCGACCGTCGCTGGCGAGGGGACGTGTCCATCTATCTCTCTTTGCCGTCCGTCGTGTCCGTGTGTGTGATTTGAGTGCAGCTCCGTATGAGTCCTCGATACAGTTGGGTGAGGGCCCTGGTGGCCGTGGGCTGAAGCGGCCATCGCTGACCGAGGCAGTGCCCGGCACCGGCATCGCACTCTCCCTACTCACATTCATCCTCGCATTCTTGTAAGGCACTAAGGCACTGACTACAGGCGACACACACACGGCTTTTCAGTGAGTGCCGATCGACCTACCTTCGTGTGGTGTGTGTGTGTGTGTGTGTGTGTGGGTCAGTCCCGGAACATCGCCCCAGTTCATCGCTGCCCTGACGCCAGCCACTTCGGCAATCGTCGCAGCCGCTGCTGCCACTGCCGAAACACAAGTCACCACACAGCACATTTCGAGTGCCTTCCTCCCGTCTGAATCACATCCGCCTGTCTGTCTGCCTGCCTGCCTCTGTGTGTATCAGTCACGCGAGGCGGTGGCCCGTGCCAAGAAGTTCTCAGCCTCTGCTGCTGTGGCTGCCGCGCGAGCCGACGCCGCATCAGCCAGGGCCGCAGCCGCCTCGTCTGCTGGTCAGTGAATGGCGACACACCCCTCTAGATGCCTTCCTGTGTGTACTTTATGCTTCCGTGTGTGTGGTTGATCCATCCCATCAGTTCCGGCTGCCTCAGCGTGGGCAGGCTTCGGTGCAGTGTTAGCTGGTGCGCTGGAGGTGGGGGCGGTCGTACCGGGGCTGGTCACACTGGGGCGCTTCTCGGCCGTGATTGCCACGGCCATGGCGGCGTGGGCGGCTATCCTCGCTGCCACTGCAGAGGCGGAAGCCAAGATAGCCATGGCGCAGACACCTGAGGAGGTCAGAATCAAGGGGTGGGCCCCACCATGATCTGATCTGCGCGTTCCTTGGTGTTTGCTTCGCATGTATTTAAATATATTGTTGTGCTGCTGTGGTGTGTGTGGTGTGTTTGGTGTGCGTGCTGTGGTATAGGAAGAGACGAGCACTCAGGCAACGAATGAGCAGACGGCCAAGGCCCTCTTCTTCGTACTCGGACCTGCACTCTGCGCACTCGTCGCCGCCAGGTGAGTCATCCGACCCGGCCGACACAGACAGCACAGACAGAGGTAGATAGGATGGATAGGCGGCCTGGCCTGGCCTGCATTGCATGTTCCTCCTCTCTCTGTGTGGGGCACCACACCACACCCTCTGTGCTGTGTACTGTACAGGGGTCGTTCCAAGCTTGCTGTGTCTGCAGCAGTGGCGGCCGCCACGGCAGCACAGGTAGGTACTCACGCCACTCGGCATATGCCGACGCCACTTGTTGCTGACGGCCCAATCAAGCTTGATTGTCTTCTCCTTCTTGTTTCCCTCTTGGTGCCTGTCCTGTGCAGGCAGCAGCTCGTGCCGAGCGTTATGCTGCCCAGGCTGCCAGGGCGACGGCCGCCAAGGCCATCAGGGCGTCGCGGTCAGAGGTGGAGGTGTCCAAGGCAGAGGCATCAGCCGCTGTAGCACCGTTCGCATCCGCATCAGCTGCCGTCGGTACGCTGGCTGATTACAGAAACACACACAACAAATGTATGTTCACGGCCTGCCTTCGATTGCCGTCGTGTTGTCTGTTGTTGCGGGTGTGGTGTCGTGCAGCTCCCCCCGCTGCGGTTGTGATAGCGGTGTTGGACCCCATATGGTCGGTGCTGGCTCCCTTGATGGCGACCTTCTTCGGCTTCATCGCCGTGGAGGCGGCCACCAAGACCAAGGAGGAGGCCGACGAGGCGCAGGCCATCGCACTCGAGTCGGTCTTCTCACCCACATACCAATCCCTCAAACCCGTCACCTCACTCAGGTTGGTCGTCACACAAACATGCACCAAGGACGAACCATCGATCGCTTTTGCTCCCTGTAATGTTGTTATGTGGTCTGTCGTTCAGGGCGTCGGTGCTGCAGCTGTTCGGGTGGCTGGGTCGGTGTGTCACGCGCTTCAACGCCTCGGTGTGGCGCTCAGTTAGGGCACCCTTCCAGTGGAGGGCCGTTTGGCGGGCCAAGTTTAGGCAATGGGCCGTGCTGGACTTGGCCGGCCGCCGGCGGGATGCCCGCGCGGCTGCCAAGGAAGAGCCCAAGGGGCCAGATGAGAGGGACGACAAGAGGAGGTCTGACGAGAGTCCCACGCCGCCTGTCGAGCCGCCAGAGAGACCAAGGGAGAGGATAGCTTCTGATGCGGCAGAAGGTGATCATGGCCCGGCGATGAGGATCAACGAGTACCGGGGGCAGGAGACCGAGGCCATCATGGCCGACGCGCGCGTCCCGTTCCCGCGAGACAGGCGGCGGCAAAGCGATCAGCAGCAGCCCCCGCCACCCGAGACCGTCACTCAGCAACAGCAGGAGAGGAGGCGAGCCACCCTCACACAACCAGCCGTGGGGGCGACCGAGGGCCCATCTCGGCCTCAACGAGGCTGGAAGTTTCCCTCATGGCCACGATTCCTGCGCCCCCCTCCTGCCGATGCTCCCTCGCCCGTGCGGCGGCGGACAGCCATCCCTGACCGCGTCGACTGGTCAGTCGTGGATCTGGCCCTGGAATCGGGGGAGGCGAGCAACGAGGCTCTGAAATCACTTGTCAGGGAAATTGAGTTCCCACCGCGCGGACGGTCAGCTGGGATGACGACTGGCGGGGTGGTCAAGACACCGACCCCCAAGGGGCGGGTAGCTGCGGCCAACGACACGGCGGTAGCTACCACCACTGCCACTGGTGGCGGTTCCTTGCCACACGAAGGCGCTGCTGACGGTGGTGCTTCCAGTCCCCTGTCGCTGACTTATGACGGGAAGAAGCTGTCGGTGAAGGGGCGCGTTGACGGGGCTGGTCCAGCTTCGGAGGCTGTCAAGGGCGAGACTGCTGCTGTAGAAGAGAGGAAGAGGGAGGCCATTGAGGCCAAGTGACTGACTGACTGACGATATAGAGAGGGAGGGAGGGGGAAAGGGAGGGAAGGAGGGAGGGAGGGGGGAGAGGGGCGCTGGCTGGCCGGCCAGCAGTCTGCAAATGGAGTACCTAACGTGGATAGGTTTCTAGCTGTCTATCTGTCTAGATCTGAGCTGCTTGGGTGCATGCTTTCAAGTGACTCTCTGGGCTGACGTGACAAACAACGACCCTGACTCTGTCAGTGAGTGATATGTGCGGGTAGTAGATCAATGCATGCGCAGATAAATAAATGTGACCACCGACCAGACTTTGTAGTCTGGCTGTGTATTCGGCTCGGGCCGCGGTTTGCCGCGGTTTGATGGATGGAATCGGCACCATTTGGGTACATCATTAGGGTTTCAAAACCATTAGGGTTTCAGACCCAAGCCCTTTTGGTTCTTTCACCAAGTCGCAACAGCGTGTCGGCGATTCGTTGTTCTCGTCAGTACATGTTCAAGGTCCACTGAGGAAGTTGCGAGTTTCCCTCCAACACCATGTCAAAGGTTTCCCTCGCTTTCCAATGCCGGTGCCGGGACACCAACCCAGGGGACGCTGTGTATGTGGTAAGGACGCACACATGACACTCCTAGGCGGCCAGCTAGCCACACAGGGCGACGGTGGATGGTTGGAGGAGCAGGGAGGCCGCTTCATGGACTTTCTCTCTCTCTCTCAGAGCGGACGGACACAAACACATGTGTGGTGGTCGGGTCGCCTGTGTGTGTGTGTTGCAGGTTGGAGGGGCGCCCTCTCTGGGCGAGTGGAACCCCAAGGTGGCCGTCCCGCTTGACACGAGCGCATCGACCTTCCCGCTCTGGAAGACACACCAAGAGGTAACGCTCCCCCTCGACCGTCAGGACACAGACCACATCGAGTACAAGTACATCATCAAGGGCGACGGCGGCACCGTACGGTGGGAGCCCATCCAGGGCAACCGCACACTCACATTCGACAGCAAGCCATCTGGTGGTGCGGGTGGTGAGCTGGTTGCGGCCTCGCCAGCGGCGGACACCTGGGGCACTGGGCCCTTTTGTACGCCCCTACAGCTCAGTGCGGCTAGTGTCGTCACTGTCAACGGCAAGAAGGAGGGCGGGAAGGATGTGGGGTATCGCCGCGACGACACCATCGACACTTCATCGACCGCCCCCAGCCCCAGCGCCACGGCCGATGCCATCCACACGCCCAGCAACGCCAATGCCACAACCCTGCTGAGCCGGTTTCACGACCTCACACAGAACAACGGCAGCAAGCCGGTGACGACTGTGGGTGGGGTGGCGGCGGATGTGGACACGACTGAGCCGGAGCCGACGCCGTCGATGTCGCCGATCAGCAAGAAGCAGTTCATCGTGTCAAACCGCGGGAACCTGGAGGACGCCTATGTCATCAAGAAGAAGCTGGGCCAGGGGTCGTGGGGCAGCGTGTACGAGGTGACGGCCAAAAAGAAGAACTCCCAGGGCAACGACCTCAACATACTCAGAGGTACGGACGGGCGGACGGCTGTGGGGATGGCTATGTATGGGGATGTGATGGCTGATAGATAGGTTGGTTGGTTGTGGGGTTCGTGTGGGCTTCCCATCCACTGTGTGTGTGTGTGTGTTGGTGTGCCGTGCACTGCAGCCGTCAAGAAGATCGCCAAGTGTTATGTAGAGGATGTGGAGAGGTTCCGCCTGGAGATCCAGATCATGAGGGAGATCGACCACCCAAAGTAGGCAGGCCCGCCATTCGCTCCTACAGCGCTCGGTGTCGCCATCTCATGGAGGCCGCCTGTGCTCATACGTTGCTCGCGTGTGTGTGTCTACAATCAATCAGTGTGATTCGTCTCTACGAGACGTTCGAGGACGACTCCTACATCTACCTCGTCCTGGAGCTCTGCCAAGGTCGGTCGGCAGGGCACACCAGGGTGGTCATGTAGACAGATGCGCATGGCCGGCCATCCTTCAACCCCTCCCTGCTTTTCTCTGGTACACATCACATGGATGGTTCTAGGTGGGGAGCTGTTTGACCGTCTGCTGGCGGAGGGCACCTTCTCGGAGGTCGACGCCTGCAGGATCATGCGGCAGATCCTGGCGTCCATCAACTTCCTCCACAGCCAATGCATCGCACACAGAGACATCAAGGTCACACACACATACACGCACACACACAGGCATCCACACAAATGCGTCCATGCACGGCTGTGCGTGTGTGTGTGTGCTTGGCGTGTGTGGTGTCTTTGATGTGGTCCATTGTGCAGCCTGAGAATTTTTTGTTTCTGAAGAAGGACAAGGACTCGCCGTTGAAGCTGATCGACTTCGGTCTGGCCAAGAAGTACCGCGACGGCGAGCAGATGACCACTCGCGCCGGCACACCATACTACGTCTCGCCTCAGGTGTGTACCCCACCCCACACACCTATATAGCTCAGACACACATGAAGACATCAATCACCACACACCCATACCCATTCATTGTGTGTGTGTCTGTGTGTGTGTCTCTCCCTCTGTGCCGTGCAGGTGTTGGAGGGCATGTACGGCCCGGAGTGCGACGAGTGGTCTGCGGGGGTCATCATGTACATCCTCCTGTGCGGGTACCCGCCATTCAACGCGCAAAACGACGCACAAATCATGAAGAAGGTAGGTTTTCACATGGGAGGGACGGAGGGAGACACAAGGTTAGACAAACACATCTGGACGTCCCGTCCACCCATGGATGGCATCAATCACCCGATGGCTTTCTGCAGGTTCGTCAGGGCACGGTGACGTTTCACGACAACGAGTGGGCTCACGTGAGCGACGCCGCCAAGGACCTCATCCGGCAGCTCCTCACCAAGGCACCCTGGAGACGGATCACTTCGCAAGACGTACGCAACACGTTCACCCCACAGCAATGCATTCAATGATTTGTCTTGTCTTGTGGTTGTGTTGGATGTGTGTCTGTCTGTCTGTCTGCACTCACTGCAGGCGTTGCAGCACCCGTGGTTCAGCCAGCTTCTGGGCGCCGACACACGACAAACCACACCCATGAAACTCGACGTCATCGGCAACTTCCGGTGTGTTGGTGTTATCACACATTCACCCATACACCACCCAATCAACGACACAAACACACAAACAGACAAACTTGTATGGCCATGTATGTTCGTCCGTGTACCTGTGTGTGTGAATCAGTCGCTTCCAAGGCCTGAGTCGTCTGAAGAAGATCGCCCTGACGGTGATTGCGCAGCAACTCAACGACGATGACATCGCAGGCAAGACCAACCACACCAAACTAGCCCTCCGTCCCTCCCTCCCTCCCCACTCACCGACCCCTCCCGACATCATCTCTGTGTGTGTGTGTGCCTGCAGGTCTGAAGGAGGAGTTCATCAACCTGGACACGGACAACAAGGGCATTCTGTCCTGTGATGAGATCAAGCAGGGTCTCATCCGCAGCGGCGTGCCGCTCCCGCCCGACCTCGACAAACTGCTCGAGGCCACCGACAGCGACGGCAACGGCACCATCGACTACACTGGTGCGTGTGTGTAGATCTCGCACACACGACTCCCATCAATCACACCTTGTTTGGTGAGTGAGTGTCTTGACCGTGCGTTGGTGTGCTGCAGAGTTTTTGGCAGCATGCATCAACCAGTCGCACTACATCCACGAGGAGGCGTGCAGGGCTGCCTTCCGTGTGTTTGACATCGACGGCAACGGACTCATATCGGCCGAGGAGCTGCGACACGTCTTCGAACTCTCGGGCGAACACCTGGACGCTATCGGCGACGGCTGCATCGCTGGTCAGTCAGTCAGCCAAGAGGGAGCCGACAGACAGACAGACTCAAACACACAAACAGACAGGGACAGACAGACAGACAGACAGACAGACAGAGTGCCGACTGTCCTTGTGTGCACATGTGTGTGTGTCAATCAAGACATCCTTCGGGAGGCCGACACCAACGGCGATGGGGAGATTTCCTTTGACGAGTTCGTGTCGCTACTCAAGAGAGGTAACTACTAACCAACCAAACCACCAGAGCCGCTCTCCCGGATGCCATGCCCGTCTGTCTGTCTGTGTTGGTTGCTGCAGTTCCCAACGACGCGATGGTCGACGACGACAGCGCCATGTTGGTCAAGAAGGTGGCGTCGCGGCCGATCTGCCTGCTCTTCGATGACGGCGAGGCGCCCCTGCAGGGGCGGCGACACTCTGTCTTGTCCGTCACGCCCCGGCCGCGCATCGACAACGGACTCGTCGACACAGCTGGCGACACCACCAAGGAGGCCAGAGGCGAAAACAGAAGGAGCAGCGTCGCCTGATCGACCGACCCGATATATCCGCATTTACCTTCGCCTGGGGGTCACACTTTTGTGCTGCATGCATGCGTCCCTGTGCCTGCGGAATGCATGATGTTTTTCGCCTGGCATGGCCGCCTGTGGCTTGCTGTCTGACTTCAATGTGGGGTTGCGGTGGGTCTGTCTTTCGTGCCTCTCCCTCTCCGTCACGTGCTGGGTGGGCTCGGTTAGCGCGGTACATCCGCTGCGTGTGACTGTGCCGGCCTGGTGCGTGGCTGAGAGGGGGAGACGGGAAGACGCGACTTGACGACATGCCGGCTGGCTGCTGCAATGATTGAGTGGGATGATCTGATCCATCGGCGAAGTGTTGATTGATTTCTTGTTGTGTTGATTGATGTGGTGGGTGGCTTGTCATATTGCTGGAGCGGGTAACCTCGATCACCGATCTGTCTCTAACAGATCGGGTGGGCAAGGTGACCATCTTTGGCGTCATGGCAAACACTCACTCGTTGGGTAACAGCGGTGCCTGCTCGCGTGTGCGTTGGGGCGGGGCGGGGCGTCTTGAAGTTGGCACGGCGAATGTATGTGTGTGCGTGTGTGTGATGGCGAGAGGATGGGATGGGAGGATGGGAGGGGGTGCGTAAGTAAGTAAGGAGTTTAGTCACCGACTGACTTCTTTCTTGTCTTCCATCAATCCAATCCGTCCACACACACAGACAGACAGCCATGTGTACGTGTGTGTGGCATGAATGCATTGAATGATGGACCCATCTACGTGCGGCTTCTTACTACTGACTCGACTACTCACTCTACTTAAGTCGCACTTCCCTTTTTCTAGTGGGGTTCATCACACAACACACATCAATGGCATCCCACCTCCCTCCCTCCCTCCCTTGTTCCCTCCCTCCCTCTCGGCTTGATGGCGGCTTTTTCCCAGCCATGCATGCCAGCCAGGGAAAACATACCTCAGATGCACCGCACCCACACAGCACTACATACACCACACCACATACACTCAATCGCCACTATGAATGACCCTGCCGTGTCTGTCGCTGCTTGGAGGAAGGGACCCTTTTCTATTGTGTCATGTCTGTCGTCTTGTTTGGCTCCCAACTCCCCGCCAGCCCCCCACTATACTGCCGTTTGCAGACATCCTGTCTTTTTTGCCGTGTCAATGAATGTTTCTGTGTGTGTGGTAAGTGTGTAAGTGTCGACGGATGGATCGATGACGACATGACAGTGTGGGCGAGTGGGTGGGTGTGGTGTATCTGGTGTATCTGCTACTGCAGACGGAATGTATGTGTCTCTCGTGTGTGTGTGTTGTGTGTCATTGATCGATCGCAGTGAGGACCGAATGACGATGTGCGCCGTGTGTGTCGTGTGTCGTGTATGTGTGTGTGTGTGACGGATGCCGTCGTGTCATTTGCGCCATCCATCTCTTTTTCGAGTGCATTCTCTCTCACGTCACCTCACCTGGGAGGAAGGCAACTAAGGAATATATAAGTAGGGCGTGGCGTCGGTCGGTCTTGACAGACAGACAGACAGTCGGGTCGGGCGGGGTGTGTGGTGGTGATAGAGACAGACACTAATTAAGCAATCCCCTCACTCACTCATTGATTGCCACAAGTCTGTCTTCTAGTGCACTCATCAACTCAAATAAGCATTATATATCCTCCTGTCATTGTCATACCGCATCAGCTCTCCGGCACTCATGGTCGAGTGCGGCGCGTACAGATCAGTCGCCACCCTGTCCAGGCGAACACGGCTCGACACATCCACCGCATCAACCCACGACCTGCATGCCACAACACACGTGCATCCACACAAGTGCAGGGAGTGCCACAACCTTGTTAGTCATGTGTTCGGTCGGTCGGATGCAATCATTGCGGACTCTGGTATGTTTGAGAGCCCTCTGTATGCGCCGTACATGGCCCCAGCCAGCCCCGCCACCGCATACGGCGACCCGCCGATAGCTACGGCAGAAAGCAACGTCTCACGAAACGACTGGTCCCGACGCATACCCTACCGAAACACCACACACGATGCAGTCACTTCGTCTGGTTGGCCACTTGTGCTGCTCTGTGCTGTGCTGCATCGCATACCCACTCACCCGCTGGACAGCCCAGACAGCGGCAACGACCTCATTGATGACGCCCCTCCTCTTGAGCGGCATGCCCCAGTGATCCTCACCTACATCACCCTGTGTGTCATCAAGGACGCCCCTCACACGCCCGGCCGCCCTCTGCCAAGGCCACCGGGCGTCCATGACGTCCCGCAGAGCGGCGATCTTCCTGTCCGTCGTGTCGCCCGTTTCGTAGCCGCCCGGCATCTTGTGGATGTCCACCAGGGCGGTGCTGAGGGCTGACCACAGCCGCGATGAGGGACTCTCCGTCTTGGATGGGACGTAGGACAGACAGGCCGATATGCTGTGAGCCTGCACAGAGAGAGAAGTTTGTGTGGAGGCACAGAGTCTGTGCCCTCCCTCCCTCCACAGACCTGCAGAATTGCGGCAGCGATGGCATCGGGAGACTTGTGTGTCAGCTGGGCTGTGTCGAGGGCCAGCCTCGACAAGAGAGGGGATGACGGGGGGGACTCAGATGAAGAGTTGTAGAGCAGCAGCGCTGTCGGGGCAATCCTCAAGGCAGCTGAGAGGGGGATGGATGGACAACGGCAACACAACACCGGGAGGGACATCAGCTTAACTAACTAATCGTTCGTCGGATCACTCCTTCACTCACTCACCTGCAATGTCAGACAGCCCTGCAAACAGACACGACACGACAACCGCCACACAACATGAATAACAGGCATCCCATCTTGGCCATTCCCTCCCCCTCCCCCCTCTCCCTCCCTTCATTGAATTGACCGACCAGTGTCCTGTGCGGCCATGGCGGGCATCTCCCACCCTCTGGGCGGCTCCCTGTCCACCGGCGGTGGCCGGTCGTCCCAATAGGCGCTGTGATACTGACCGCTGGG